TATATATACTAATAATTATACACAGTGCACTCACATATATTATGTAAACACAAACTTTTATTTTGGATGCAATTAATCGCGATTAATCGTTTGACAGCCCTAGTTTAAATATCTTCTTACTAAGACATTTATTGAGAGCTATAGAGTGACAACTGATATTTAGATGCATTTATGTAAGTGTTCTGTGATAAAATCTCACTGATTTACATAATAAGTGTTCAGATTTATGTCTTACTTTTTTGGCCATATAAATTTCAGCAACTGTTAAAAAAGGTATTTTTCCTCATTTGGGTCCTCTGAGATGTTTTTCCTCCCCAGATGTGAGCTTGATTTTCCTAACCATATCATACGACATGAGACATAAAAGCCTGATGGATTAATCCCAATAATTAACAAAAAACAATATGCAAACTGTCAATGCTATCTTACTGTTTTAAGGTTGAATAAACATTTTCATTTTTTTTTTCTGATTATCATTTCATATGTCATGCTTTACAAGGATAAAAACAAACACATTGTTTAGTGTGAACTCGAGCTAACTTTGTGTCTCAAACCTCAGTGGTAAAGCTGAAGCTTTTAATGAGGTTTTTCCTCTCTGTTGTGTGCTTTCCAACACATCTCTCTGGTTCTCCGGTCCCGGTGTGATTGAGGCTGTAGCTCTCAAAGCGGGAGATGTATTAATGTAATTAGAGTCAGTGCGCAGTAAGCAGGGACAGCCTCAATCTTTGCTGTCGATCGATCTTTAGTCGCCGCTACAGGCCGGCGGTTTCTCCCTGGGGATTTGTGCAGTAGGCCATCTCTGAATGCTAATGTGTCTGTGATAAACCTCCAGCTGAATGAGTTTGTGGAGTGTGCTAGCCCACCTTTCATTATTGTTAAAGGTGGTGTGCCTCTATTGGTAACAAAAAGAATTACAAAAATAATGACTGTTTTCAATCAGGTTTCCTAAAACACAAGTTTGTCATTGGTCAGAAAATCAGATTGCCCCACCCCAAAATCACGCCATTGGTTGAGCAAGTGTTGCTGTGGTGGGCTGGTCGGGATTCTCCAACAACAGAGCAATGTTTTTGAGAGTGCTAAAGTGCTAGTGTTTACTTGCTTCAACTTACAAATGGCTGTTGTTTAGCCAAAGGCAAAGTTGTGAAATGTGTTTGACGTCAGTGGACAGCCACACAGTTGCAAAATGTACAAAACTGTGGGACTAATGCAATTGATGCCAGTTTCCATGTTAGTCCTCCACTCATTCCTCAGTAACTTTGTTATTAAAGAAAAGAAAAAAGACATTCAGAGGCAAATCATATGTCATGAATTGTTAGGCATCATCTGATATGCATTATTAGCTTTAGTTGAGCTCATATTCTATTTAAAGTGCTCAGTTGAAGGACGTTGATCCCCCCTCCCCCTATTGATGAAAGAATGAGAAAATGTGTCTCAGAATCAAGTCACGATGGAATTTAAATGCAGATTTCACTAGACGTTTTTAAAATAAGTATTTTATGCTCACCAATGTTAAGTACTATTACAATTTGACTGTATTCTATTTTGATATGTTAAAATGTAATGAATTCCTGTGTTGGCAAAGCTGAATTTTCAGCAGCCATTACTCCAGTTTTCAGTGTCACATGATCTTTCAGAAATCATTCTAATATGCTGATTTTCTGTTCAAGAATGTACTATCATTATCAATGTTGAAAGGAGTTTTTTGAAAACAACATTTTTGTGGAAACTGTGATACTTTTTTCTGGATTTTTGTTACTGTTTTTTTTTTACTGGACACTTTATTTATTCAAATCATCCTTACTGAATAAAAGTATTATTTTTTATAGATATATTAAAGAAGGATGTCTATGAAGTAAATGTATCGAGTTAATAGAATGGTTAACAAATGAAACATTTATGCAAAATGCGCTTTGATTGAGCACACAGCGGCATAATGCGCATGCTTGTCGACCGCATACTTTTCGCTGGGAAGTTTGTAGTTTGGTCTGATATGGCAATAGCAAAGAAAGTAAAATGAGGAACAAAATACTACCGTTAACTTGACAGTAAAGAGAGAGAGAGAGCGTCTCTTGCATGAACTTGATTCCTGATTGTTCACTCCCCCACATGTGTCATTTGATACCTAAATCATATACAATAAGAACTTTTACATGATTTACAGTATGTATGACGAGTGGTTCCCCACATCATTACTGGAAGGTGGTTGAGTAATCACATGATGTTGTCAAGAAGTTTTCTGTTGGCAAACATCCGAAGCGAGCACCCAGAATGATGCCTCTCAGATAGTGAGCGAACAGCCTATTAAATTAAGTTCTTTTTCAAGTAGACAAATTCACAAAAAATGTAGTATCCTTGTGAAACTTTGTCGGTTATGTCTTGAGTGAACGTAAACAGCTGAAAAGAACATGTGTAACAGTGTGTTGGATACATGCAGCTCTTAAAGTGACAGCAGCCTAATAAATCTACTCCTGTCTTTTTCCACAATGTTAATCACAAAAGACAGAAAATCGCTCACTGCTCTTGACTGAGTGAGTCCTGCTGGAGCCGCTCTAAATGTTCACTGTCCTATTAAATTACAGATGAATTAAATATGATAGAGCAATAATATGAACAGCTGCTCCTAAAACACATTGGAACTGGCATATGAAAATAACTAAAGGAAATATCTGTTTGCTCAGCAAACTAATTTGGTTCATATTCTTTTGGTTTCTCTGCCCAATATTAAATTCAGAAAACAGGTATCTCGGGGTATCGGCAAGTACTAAAAATAAAAGTATGGGTATCGGACTCGTTCTGGAAAAATTGGTATCGTGGTAGTTGACATCATATTCAGAGTAATACTTTGGATTATTACTTAACAGCCATTACACTTCATGAGGAAATTTATCTAAATGAAAGTTGTCCTCATGTTTACCTAGTAGTAACTGGGAACAAGCCTTTTAAGTGATTTATTTTAGTTATATTTGTGAGTTTGATTCATATTTGAGCTGTTAACGTTCACATCTAATATATTAACATCAGTGTGTATTTGGGGTTGTACTGTATAAGTGCAAACGTAGCACTGGTCCACCTGAATTGATTTTAGATTCAAATAGTAACAGTTTGGAAATAAAAAAAATCCATAGTCATGTCTGCATACAGTAATATTTCTTAAAGGGTTAGTTTACCCAAAAATGACAATTCGGTCATTAATTACTCACCCTCATGCAGGGCCTGAAATTAACACCCGACCACCTGCCAAATGCGGGTGAATTTTGCTATTGGCGGGTAACACTGTCAATCTACCTGCCACATTGGCAGGCAGCCAATGAGAATTGAGTGATTCATTAGGATTTTTACATTTCAACGAAGTCCGCTATTGCGGTGGACTTTAGCTAAAATGTGGCGGCACATTACTGGGGTAAAGAGGCCAGCTGAAACAAAACAAACAGCCAACAAAAAGATGAGGATGAAAAAAAGAAAAGTAAAGAAGACATTTTAATACAAAGTGAACAATCGGCGGCAATGGCAAGGTTCGTGAGCGGCTGATTTATGACAGCGACTGTTGTTTCGTAACGTTCATGCGATCAGAAAGAAGATGAGGCTCTTTTTCTGACTACGTGTGCGAGTATTAAACTGTTGATGAGATGGGATGAGATAATGTAATGCGTCGCTGTTGTAGGTTACAGTACAATGACAGTTGCACAGATGTGTGTGCGTGTGCAACTGTGCATGTTGGGAGTTGGGAACCGGTGAGAAAATGTCCGGTACCCGGTAATTTTATCAGTAATAACAGTATTAATTTAGTTGATATTTCCGTTCCTGAACGCTGTAACTAAAAGCTGTTAAGAGTAAGACCTGTACGTGACTAAATCCGCCATCAACACAGCCGCGTGTGATTTGTTTACGAGCTGCGGTAGGTCTATCTGTTGAGTATATACTATATATGTTGTGTGTGTGTGTGTGTCTGTCAAAATCAATGAATAAAAATAATTTTTTTTTAAATGTATGTTATTAGAGTTATTATTACTTGACAGCACTTAAATGTGTGTTCTTACAAGTTAAAGAACAATATTGTGAAATTCCCGGGTTTTTTTTTTTTTTTTTTTTTACGTTTATGAAAAAAAAAAATGGCTGGTAAAAAGTCTCTGTGGCAGGTGAATTTTTAAATCCACCTGCCACAGTGGCCGGTGGCCGAAAAAATTAACTTCAGGCCCTGCCCTCATGTAAGTCCTCCGTTCATCTTCAGAACACAAATGCAGATATTTTTGATGAAATCTGAGAGTTTTTTTCAACCTTAATGTTATGAAGCGATGATAATAGTTTTGTGCGTTTTTGTTCCTTTAAATATAGTAAAACAAAATAATTGTTAGGTTTTGTGGTCTGGAGTAATTCACATGATATATACCTGCCTCCAGGACCACAGACATCATTATTAAGGTAAATGAGCCTAACTGTGCAGATATCATTATTGTACAGTGAATTACTGCTGTACATTACACTGTGTAAATTGAGCCAATCTTTTCTAATAAAGGCTGATGAAGGGGTTACACTTCACAACAATCAATACGATTAGAGAGAAGGCACAGAATAGAGGTCCACCCACTAAGATTTCTGGCCTCAGTGCATTGTGGGAGAGATTCGTTGACTTTGTGTGGTCATCAGAAAACAGCACCAGAGAGAAAGAGAGAGAGAACATACATGTCATACATTTTTTTGTTTCCCCCTCAGAAATGTTCACGCGCGAAAATGATGCCATTTTTTTCATCACTCATCTAATCAATCTATGAGTGTGTGTGGTTGTGTAAATATGTTGTGTTCCATTTACTGTGGGTGTCGACTGTTGTTTTGAAGTTGTACTTTATCATGGCATCTGTGAGCTCAGCAGTTCCCATCATGCTCTGATGTATCCCTTAAAAACTAGGCCAGTTCACACATCTCCAATCCACTCTGATCTTTATCTCTCTCTTTCTGTTTTCCTCTCCATCCATCTCTCTCTCTCCCTCCCTTTTTTTTCACAGGCAAGTCCTGCTCCAATTATTGTCAACACGGACACTTTGGAATCTGTACCATACGTGAGTTTTGATTTATCATTTTATTTATTGCATGTTCATGACATTATGCACAGCCGTGACATCGCCAATCACCCACCTGATGAGTTCACTGCCCACGCAGAATGAGTGGCGAATAAATTTGACATCCTTTTTATTTTTTGGCTTTTCAGTGTCATTTATCACTCTTTACGCTGTCCAAATAGGATCAAGAAATTTCAATGTTTGATGACTTTTCATAAATAAGCCAGATAAGGAGGCCAGCGATTAGCTGTGGGTTTAGATTTGCACTGGCTTTTCATAAAGCTTTTTTTTTATGGGCTTGAAATATTAATGTTCAGTGTCAACTGCGTTTTGGGTGGGATGTATGAGGGAGATTTGATGAATGGTTTAAAACAGGTCTTGGATCAAATCAGGCCTGGACTGGGATAAAAAATAAGCCCTGGCATTTTGGCCTAGACTGGCCCACTACATATATTATGATCATAAACACAACCAAACTTTGCACACCCTTGAATATGTATACCAACTCCTATTAAAACCACTAATGCCATGTAATAAGTGAAGATGAAATAACTACTAAGTGGAAATATACTCCACAGTAAAGAATCCTAAAACAAGCTACATTGGGATAGCAATACCGGTTAGCAATGCTGTTTTTGTTTTTCCCCCCCCACAAGACTTAATTGGGCAATGGGGGGCCTTCAAAGTCAAAGCGTATGAAATAATAGTCAGAAACATACATATTTTACTCAACATGTTGTCGATCATGGTGTTATGGCTCATATAGTATGCTATATGTATTGAGCTCACATTAAAAGAGGGGAATTGCAATTTGGTGCAGTGGTATTTATATGGCCAAAAAGTGAGTATGTATAAGTATCTATATTAGGCGTGTGACTGTATTTGGGTTCACTAGAACGAGATGAGCCTATTTAACACTGTTTTCAAGAAATCTTCAATGACAAAATATAAGACTGTTATTTTATTTGAATGAAAGTCACAAAATGCAATACAATGCAGATGCATTTTGAAATGTAGCACTGTAAAAGGTTTCGCCACAAACTCAACTCATCATCTTGATTTCGCAGACAGGAAATGTCGTCACATGGTATAAGATCATGTGGAACGTCCCTATTCTAAATCTCCTAATATTTTTTTGACTGCAAAAAGACACGTGCGCTACGACCTGAAGGTGAACATTTAGTTGTTTTTTTTAGTATGTCATATTAATTGCATTGCAAAAGGCATGTGGTGGATTGTGTACAATAGTTTTGATCATGTTAGAGGCCTTAGTGTGTATCAAATATGATACAGTAGGCTATATAGAATGAAGGCGCTTATACTTCGTTATTAAAATGATCCCAGAAAGCTGAGTATGCTCATCCGAAAAGTGTGAACAGTGCATGTTATGGAAAATAATTTATCCAATATTTCTGTTTTGTCGAATAAAGCAAGAGAACTCCAAGGCACTCTCAAGTGGAAAAGTTAAAAAGCCTTTATTATTATGGTTTGGTCAAATTAACCATCTAAAAAATGCCAACGCGTTTCTGTTTTGTATTTTTATGCATATTAAAGGACAGTTCTATCAAACCCATTTGGAGAATACGTTGTGCTTCACATGAAGCCTATGTAGAGCATTCCAATTCAGGCAATTATGAGATTCCATTTCATAGTATGTAGTTGTCTATTATTTTTCAAAGTTGTAAATCCAACATTATTGGAATTTGTTTTACAAAGAAAATGCTATTTTAGTCTTTCTGCTTCAATTTCATTTTTAATTCATTGCGATACTTGCCGTATCTTTGTAATTATTAGTGAAAGTTATCAATTTCCGAGTGAAAATTGTTGGCAGCACGACACTTTTCATTTTGAATCAGAGCTAAAGAGGTAGATAAATGCAGGAGGAGAAAACATTGAGCACATGATAGAACAGGTGATGGGATTGAGTGAAAGAACATAGAGGGTTAGTAGTGTTGAATCAGACTCTAACACAGAGCCATAAGTACTCGGCACGAAGCGTAAAGAGTGCACACTCAAACACGTTAACAACACCGCTTGACCTTGTGTCGGTAGAGAAAGGTTTTGTCTGTTTCCTGCAAACTCCAAAATCATGTGTTTTTCCCTGTTATTGCAGTGTTGTAATTTGGCCATGTCCAGAAACACCCAGCCATTTTTGAACAACCTAAAACACTCATTCTTTTTTTTTTCTGCTTCACCTTGTTTGTTGTAGATATATCTCAAATAAAATATCTTTAAACCACTCAATTGATTCTCCTAAACGGCATTGAGATTAAGTGGAAGTTAACATCAGAAAGAAATCCCTCTATTCTTGCTCTGTTTCATTAAACGAATCTCCTCTGTTCCACATGGCTCTTACACACACCCTTCACGTTCACCGAGGATAATCAAATTTGATTCTTGTTTCTCTGCCGGCATCTCAGTAATGAAATATTAATATCAAGGCATATCCAGATGACTGTGGATGTGCGTGTTTTAGTCAAAGCGCCATACAGTACTTCCATCAACAATGTGAGATTGACCATGACATCCTGAATCCAGCAACACTCTTAATTCTGTTAAGACGGTTTAATTCCCCCCCCCCGATTATCAGCTGCTTTAAGCACAAATCTGTGTTTGATAGAACTTCTAATATCCTAATTCGAGTGAACAAGAGAGTGAGGATGCGTTCTGGGAAAAGAAAACACTATGATGGATTGCTCCAGCAGAGCTGGTGTTCACTCTGAGTTTAGCCTATAAACAGTGTGTGCGTACATGTCCGTGTGTGTGTGTGTGCGCATGTGCTCCCAAAATGTAAATCTCTAAAGTAGAATGAATTCACTGACCCTTTTTTCGTTGAGAACTTTATTTTATCATTACTGCGATATTACGGGTGCTGGAAACTGGTGACAGGGATTTAGTGTACGCCGCGTTTTAGATTTACGCCTTACTTAGATTTTGAATTATCTGAGTTATGAGAGGGGTAGATGGGTAACAGAACAAGCATTAAAATATGTTGCTATGTTTATAGATATTGGAGGCCTGTGTGATCCATCCATTACAATTTGTTTCATAACTATCTTGCATTATGGCAAATTTGTGGCTAATTTGTATGAATTGGTACGATTGCAGTCATACAATCTGCTTAGACCCAGTGATTGTTGTGTTTAGGGATGGAGTTTGGGTGGACCCTCATTTTCATTTTTTTATACAAATTTTACATATTCGTATGATTTACATCATATGTATTCATAGGAAATTGCCACTGCATAAAATAGTTTCGTTCCCTTTGAGATTGGGTTGATCCAATGGATTGAGTCGCTGTTGAGGGGATATAAAGACTCCATACTTCCCCTGAGAAAAAAAGAAAGGTGTGCTGATGTAAACCCAGCGGGAAAGGACCAAATCAAGCTCATTATGCATGTATTCATGGCATCCATTTATCCTGCACACACACATTCGCTCACCCAGTACAGTGTCATCTGTTCACTTTATTAAAAGGAACCTCAGTTGCTTTAGTGTGCACATTTGCCTCAAGTCAAGTGCTATGTGGGCTTTTAATGTTTATCAAGGAAGTGTCAAGGCTAGTTTAGTTTAGGAGTTCACTTTAAAAAAAAAAACTTTTGCTGATAATTTACTCACCCCCATGTCATCCAAGATGTCCATGTCTTTCTTTCTTCAGTCGAAAAGAAATTAAGGTTTTTGATGAAAACATTCCAGGATTTTTCTCCATATAATGGACTTCAATGGGAACCAAACAGTTCAAGGTCCAAAAGTGCAAACTGCTGTTCAAAGGGCTTTAAATGATTCCAGACGATGCATAAGGGTCTTATCAAGCGAAATAATCGCTCATTTTAAAAAAATCCTTTCCTGAGTCAATTCGTTCATTTCGTTCATTGAATAAACCAAATGACACAAAAAGATTCATTCATTTTGATAAACGAGTTCGAACAGGAGAGTCAAGAACGCGCATCACAGAACAGAGCAAGGCAACCATTTGAGCTTATAAAACTTAAACTTTAATATTTACTTTTTAAATGAGTGATCGTTTAGTTTGATAAGACCCTTATTTATCATCTGGAATCGTTTAAAGCCCTTTGAACAGTTTGCACTGAAACTGTCTTTTGGACCTTGAACCGTTTGGTGCCCAGTAAAGTGATTTTTTGATTTCATCAAAAACCTTAATTTCTTTTCAACTAAGAAAGAAAGACATGGACATCTTGGATGGCATGGGGGTGAGTAAATTATCAGCAAAAGTTTTTTTTAAAAGTGAACTACTCCTTTAAAGATTTTTCTTAGGAGTCATGAAAGTTGATTTTATCTGTTGATGCTTCTGAAAGATTTAAGAAAAAAGCAAGAGTTAGACCTTAGAGAAGATTAAATATTTAATTTGATACAAACAAAACATTGAGGAGGCTATGTTATAATGCTGGATGTCTTTCCGAAATCTTCTGGTTGTGAAAATTATAGGTGTTAGGCAGTGACATTGAATTAAACATGAAATTTTGAAGAAGAAAAACTGAAATAGTATTTTCTTGTAAAACACACTCCAGTTATCCTTGTTTTATTTACAACTTCAATCTCCAACAATGATTTCATGTGAAATCAACACTGAAAATTCAGCTTTGTATCTCAGCAATAAATTACATTTTTAAATATTAAAATAGAAAACGTGTTGAATTCTAATAATATTACTCATTTTATTACTGCATTTGTGATTTAAATAAATACATCCTTGGTGGTAAATACTCTTTTATTTAATACCAAAAATAATTATCTCATGTAAGTTATCTCACTATTTGCATGTATTATGTATTTTGTGTGCTTTTTAAACTATTGCATATGTATATTAGCAACATGTTAATGTTAAACTATTGAAAGATGAGTCTTTTGTGTATTCCATGAGGGTTAGGATGCTGCCTTAGAAAGTACAGAAGACTATATAGGCAATAGACTGAAAGGCAGCTTGCTAACTTTGACACATGCGCTACAATTTAAATCTTAACCCGCTGTTGCCCAAAGTTTAAGACCTGGCGAGAAATCTGGTTAAGTACTGTTAATTATGAAGCCTCCACTGTGCTCTCTTTGTATCTGTAGTGGGAACAGAGCTCAGTTAGAATTAGCGCTAAAGATAATCAAGGGGGCGACAGGATTAATACAGCATTATTGAGAGCATGCCCAGTCTGTTAAATAACTTCTACCTACAGTAGCTTCAGCAAAATGTCCCCTTCTGCATACTTATAACAGCATCTTTGTGTCCATTAGCTGCCAGGAATAACAGTGGTTAGTTCATGTGCTAATTAGTCCACATGGCTGTGTATTGAGGAAACCCAGTCTCATGTCGCAGCCTGGGGGATATTTCGTGTTTAATCACCGCGATGGGCGTAAAAAACATGCCATCCCATCGGCCAAAACTCTAAAGGGAAAGCTTCTGCTTGCAAGTGCCCAGTTCCTGCATTATAGTCAAACAGTAGTCATGGAAACATGACCCGCTCTGTATCGTTTGGATGAACGCATTCAAGCGCGTCGCACATTCGCGGGTTTGTGTGTTGCCACATTTGCAGTGACTCACCAGTTTAATGTGAGCTTTAACGCCCCGGATGCTGCATCGCGAACTCCCCCTCTGCAGCTGCACTCACCCACGGTCCCCAGCGTCTCACATTCGCAACACCACGCGGCTCAGAATGCTAATGCCACTCAAAAGCCAGTAATTGGGTCATTTCTTCAGGGGGAAGATGGAAAGGCCATGTTTGTCTTGACCTAAAGAAACGTTCTCCAAATGAAGTGCGTATGATTATCAGTGTCTTAAGTCGGCTGATAAGGGGGTTTGTTCTGCCGTCTTATTGGCTTTTCACGCACATCTGTTAATTATCACATCCATCAATTATCTCTCTGATTGTGTTTGTAGCCATATTCAGCTCTGTGTGCTTTGAGAGCGATGGATCCAGGGTGTTCTGAAGAGCTCTCGCTGATGAAACTGTGGAGAAGCGACTCGGCTACCGCTGCTCTGATTAGTTAGCGTCAAACAGAGGAACTTGCATACACTGGTAATAAATGACATTCTGGCTCTGAAAATAAACAAAATGACCACAGCGGATATGGGATTTTGACCAGTTTTAATGGTAAAGCCATTGGAGCTGTGGCGGATCATGTCATGTGTGATGTACTGTAGGTATTTGTCGTGGCTGGTGATGTTTTCTGATCGATCCTCATGCTAAAGTCTGCATCCACTGACACAAATTTTGATATTACTTGGAGTTTCTTAGAGTAAAATCCTTGGGAATTTGACTCTATAGTGATGTTCACTCATATGAAATCACTCATCATTCTATTAGATGAATAATTTCTCATTTTAAAATTCTCATTGTAAAACAGATACTGTCTTTTGATGATGGAACAAAAACGCCTATTTTAGTACATATTTGTATGCCATCCAAAATTCATCCTGGTGCCAACTCTGGACCAGCTAACCAAATATGTTACCGCATCTTCCCGCATGACTGAAGAACGTCAGCCGGAATTCAACAAATGAATTCATTTGAGAAACGTCGTGGAGTGAGAGACTGCGTTCAGCTCTGTGCTCTTGACATCTGTTTGGTCCTCATGTTTAAGAGCAGGTGTAGTCTAGAGGCTTCCAACTGATGCTGCAAATGAAAGGTCATGTTGCTCTGAGGAGAGCAGTGAGACCGCATTAAGCTATGCCTCTCTCTCTCTTTCTCTCTGTTGAACAGCTGAGGTGGCTGAGGCATAAATGAGCTTGTTCACTGGGTTTTAATTAGCCATGAATGACTGTTTCTTTTTCTCCAGCTGTCTGAAATACTCCCCTCAGATTAAAAAAAAAAAGTCAAAATGTGAAACTTGGACACTCCAAGTGCCTCTAATAAGGCCAAAGCTGCTTTATTAGAGGCACTTCATTAAATGCCCTATACACAACTAGCTCTATTGACAGCACCTGTGTAATATTGTTATAGAATTCCTTACGCCCTGTTTAACGCTCACGGGTAAAAACGTAAAAATATTTTATCGGATGCGCCTTTCGTTTACACGGCGACGGCGTTTTTGGACGCCTCCAGAGTGGAAATCTTAAAAACACTCCACCGCCGCATTCCCATGTAAACGGTAAAAACGCAAAAGTCTGCTTGACAGTGAAGGTTGTACGCAGGCGCGTGGACTTGGTGTTGTTTTAGTATGCACTCCTAGCCGCCTGGAGTGCATACTGCATTGAATTTCACACACTTTTGCGTCACCATTTGCACGCGGATTTCCCACACAAAACGCTGGTCTAAGGCCGGATTCACATATAGCGCCTAAAAACGCGTAGAAAACGCTGGCCGCGCCGCATTCTCCATTTTCCAAAGCGCCAGGGCGGTTGCGCTTCAGTTGGTTCTTGTCACATGACCTATTGTGTGCGTATGGTGCGCTTGCGGTATTCTGAAAAGTTTAGATGTTTTTATCTCGACGCGGCGCGGATGCGCATGGAAAAAATACCGCGCGCCTACATTTGAAATAACGAACTTGAGCGCGCAAAAGACGCGATATGTGAACCAGCCCTAAAAGCAGAATAAAAAGTGATGACGTAACACCACTTTTGCGTTTTCTCTTCAGAATCGTTTCCGTGTAAACATAGCCTAAGTTGTTAAAACATACACAAATTGGGTTTACAGTAAGGCATTATATAGATAAAGGTTTATGCATTTCTGCTCTAGTTATATTAAAGTTTTACTTTTTAACGGTAGTATATATTCATAATATAATAAATCATATATTATATAAAAAACATATTACAACAATATTAAGTCCAATTAAGCAAAATATAACACATTATAATAGTTATTAAGATTTCTATATGATATAATGTAATCTAATAGTAATTCAGTGTACATTGTCGATGCTTTTAAAACGGTTCATCTAAAATTGTCTTTCTTAAAATGGCATTTTACTGTCAAATGTGGAGCATGTTTGTTGTATGCTCGAATTATGAATGTGAGAACAGACATGCTGGTTTTCAAAAGCTCTTATTGTATCATGCGGCCATTGCTTTAGATTCACTTATTAAAGAATAATTAAGATGAACGTCTCCAATCGAGCACAAACATGACCCTCATTTGAAATTGTACTTGAAATTGGATTAGATGTCTTTCAGTGTGCGTTCAGTGTGAATTCGTCTCTAAAGGGCCGCTTGAGCCAGCACGTCTGCCTCAGAGGCATGGTCCCATTGTACGAGCAAGTAAATGATTATGGATTTTAGTGTCCGGACTCAGATTTAGACAATTACGGCCGACGCGGTGAGCTGAATATATATGAGGCTCCATATCTGCTGAAGATGTATGAAAGCCCCAGCCCTATTTCAGTCAAGGAGAATGAGATGAATGCTGGTGTTTTTTAGAGTTTATTTGACTTGTCCTTTCAAGATAATGTATGTAGCATCACTTTTAGCAATCACAGCGGGTTTAATTTAGTCCTTTAGCTATCACATAATGTTTTGAACTGTTATGAACCTCTTTCCACATCATTTGCCTGCTGCAGTTTTCGGATGATATTGTGTCATCACAGTTAGATATTTAATGTGACGGTTAAATGATTACTGGCCTTTTTGAATTGCATTTGCAAACACATCTAATGGGATTTAATTTTTTTCCCTCCAATAGGTAAATGGGACAGAAATTGAATATGAATTTGAAGAGATTACATTAGAGCGGGTAAGTGTCTGTCTCTCTCTCACACATCCATAGATACAGGCTGTAACCGTAGGCACATATTAGGCACCTGTCATATTTTATGCTCGTGTGGATTCTTCCGCCTAGTAATCCAATCATTCACAGCTTGGCTTGCGAGCATGATCTTGAAACGTATAAACATAAAACATGACCAATCGAGTATGAGTTTAGCCTGTGATTAGTAATAACTGGGAGATTGTTTGATAGAATGATTATTTGTGTTTTAGTTTTGTCTAGTCATTGTGTGACCAAATTAACAACCTGTCAATTCTGTACTTTCTCTAAAACGTTTTATTATTATTATTTATTATGTAACTATTATTCCATAATAGTTTTAATTAATACTTTTGTTCAGGAAAGAATGCATTAAATTGATCGAATGACAGTAAGTACATAATGGTGCACATGATTTCTATTACAAATAAATGCTTGCTCCTTTTTAACATGTTATTCCATAAACAAAGAATTCCCCCAAAACAATATTAGGCAGCACAACTGTTTTTAACATTGATAATAATACGAAATTAGAGAAGCCACAGAATTAAAAAAAAAAAAAAAGTATGTGTGACTTTTTATTTCACAAATTAAAAAAAATAAAAATTATTATTTTAATAATAAAATAATAATTTAATAATATTTTATTAAATTATTATTTTAATAATAAAATAATAATTCAATAATATTTTATGTGAGGTATGAACTCACCATTGTGAGAAAAAAAGTCAGAATTGCAAGTTTATATCTCGCAAATATTTTAGTTAATTATGTAAATAATTAGTTACATTTTTTTTCATATGATATATTAGTTGTATAATTAGTTAATAATTAGTTGATTAGTGTAATGGATATATTTTTTATGAATTAATATATTCTAATAATTATTATAACTAATACTTTTGTACATTAAAGTAATTTCCTTAAGTATAATTATTATTTTATATTTATTATAATCTATATTTGCATTTTTAAACACATGATAAATTAAATTTAACTACAAATTAGATGCTGACTTACTCTTTAACCATGAATATATGTAGTTATTAAAATTTCTCAAAATTATGTATTTATTTATTTATTTATTTATTTATTTATTTATTTATTTCTAACCTAATATATTACACATACATATTTATAAATGCATTGTTGTTCATTAGCAATGCCTTTGTGATGCATTACAAGCTCCATAGAAAGTAATACTGAAGATTGAATTCACTGTATGTGCTTTATTTACAAGTGAAAGCCTGGGGTGCACAGTGGAGGCAGTGTGAGAGAAAGAGAGAGTGAATTAGACGGCTGCAGATGACACACTGGCAGCTGCAATCGGATCCACATGACTAGACACAGAGCACGGACAATAGCAAAGGGTCAACTAGACCAGAGGGAACACAGATTTGTCCGACCCTGGACCCGTGAGGCGGAGAGTGTGTGTTCGAGGCTCTCTGCAGACTCAACTGAGATTACATGTCGGAAAATTGGATGCAAACTTAAGCGAGAACTCTGCTGGAAGGGCCTGATCTTTTATTGTCACTTATCTCTTTCTCTCACTCACATATCCTAGTATTGCCTTTTCGTATTTACCGTGACATTACATTTGCTATTCTATAAAGCAGATCCAAAATAGCCAGGGAAGATCCCAGCAAAGATTAATTCTCCTCACAATCCACTTTGAAGCTTAAAAGCCTGTGTTAACCTGAGGCAGCGCCCTGGAGAGTTCCATCATAAACACGTCATTTCAAAATATTAGCCTGTTAGTCTATTTATGTCTCGGAGATGTTAAAAGCGGCTCTAGCCCACGGTTGCGACAGGTTTTGATTTGTGAGTTTGCGCTGCTCAGAGGCAATTGCCGTGCCAAACTGTAAACACTGATGAGTCATGGGCAGCAAAGTGCACCTCTTACAAAAATAACGTTACGCATCTCTCTTTCTGTTCAGTCTGTTTTGGTTCTGTTATTCAGGCTCTTTTCACTGAAGCAAAACACTAATACAGGGCCTTTACATTTTTCATATTTCTGTGTGTGTGTGTGTGTGTGTCTCCTCAGGGAAACTCAGGGTTGGGGTTTAGTATAGCGGGTGGAACAGATAACCCTCACATCGGCGATGATCCCGGGATCTTCATCACGAAGATCATCCCTGGGGGAGCGGCGGCTGAGGACGGCAGACTCAGGTGGGTCTGCGTTTCGGAACACATATTTAATGCTTAATGTTAATATAAAATCAAAATTGTCACTACAGTTTCTGCAGGTCTTACACAAATGAAGACCTTAAAAATGTCTTAATTCTGGCATGAAATGTTGCCTGCATTGCAAAAAATAAATAAATATCGCCTCAGTATTTTTGCCCGGTTTTCCAATACAAATATCTAAACATCTTTAAATCTAGATGCATTTACTTAAGATGCAAATGTAAAAAAAAAAAAAAAGTTTATGACTAAAACAATAACATATTTCTGTCAATGACTTATGAAAACTTGATATTAAGTTTATTTTTTGAGCCCACTAGTAGATATTTGTTCTTATTTTAACCATAAACTCACTTCTTCTTTTTGATCCAATGCTTTTCTCCCTAGATATTTATGTTTAAAGAATACTTTGACAATATGAGTTATCTTCCATTTACTGTATTCCTTAAACTTTCTTTACTTGGTCTTAAAAAGGTCTTTAAAAAGTCTTCAATGTACTGTCAAATAACCTGCTGAAACCCTGTAAACGTTCTCTTTATACAAACTCAAATTAAAGGTACAATATGTAAGAATTTTGTAGTAAAAAATCCAAAAATCACTTGCACAGTATTAGATGAAGAAGAAGGAGATATATTTCCTCCAGTTGTGAACTTACAATATCCCAAAAGTCTCCAAAGATTTTTTATTTCAGAGAAATTCCAATTGTAATTGAGTGGCCGTCCCAAAAAAAAAAGAAAAAAAGTCTCCTGTCAGTGATGCAATATCCGCGCTATCCTCGGTTATACTACCATAGCCATGACGTAACCATGGTAACAGACGTGGACAACTGCGTAGTGTGTAACGTTTAGCGGCACGCAGTTCTTGTTACTTTTTAAACATAGACCATGGCAAGCAGACTTTGGGACAAACAAGGAGAACTAAAATGAGGATCAATATCAACGTGGCGTTTTAGAGCTCCACGTCCGCGACTAACTTGGACTTGACAGAGCTTACGAGTCACGACTTGATAGCTTTATTAGAGAGGTGAGCAAATGTACATAAAACAACGCAATGTTATATAACATTAGCTCAACATGATGAAATGTTAGAATATGGTCAGTATGTTATTCTAATGTTGATCTAGCTCACTGCTAGTTTCGTATAGCAAACAAACTAACATGTAGTATAACGTTATAACTTTCAACACACATTTAAATGCCGTTTAATGTGATAGTGTAACGTTAGACTAAGTGAAGCAGCGCTGCGTTTCCTCACAAGTTTAATTCGTCTTCTAAACTGACCTATGTGAGGAATCCAGCACTTGCGGTTAGTTCGGGAAAATTAAATGTCCTTATTCCTTTATATCCGCGGGACTCGTGTGTGATATCTGTCTCTTTAGCAATCGCGACCTGCTTCATACCACTGTAATGTTAAAAAAACATGAATGTTTGCACACTTATCCATAAACATCCATCAGTTTCACTGCAACTCCCATCATTCAGCTCATCACTGCGTCATCAACCTAACGCCTTTGGTATTGTTGGAAACTGCGCCCTCTTGTGGTGAAAGAAAAAACCTACATATTGTGCCTTTAATATTCATGAAACCTTTCCATTGCATAAAAGGTTCTTTATAGTGGAAAAAGTTTCTTTAGATTATTATCATAATTGTTTTTTTTAAGACCTGAACACTGAAAGGTTCTTTAGGGGAACATGAATTGATTCTTCTATTGTATTGCCTTGGAAAACCCCGTTTTGGAATCTTTATTTCTAGTGTATGCAATTCAAACAGGATTAAATGTTCAGAAGTGGACAGTTTCATGGTAAATTGAACATTTTTAATGTATTGATGGATTGTCAGAGGAAATAAAACTGTTTCTTACTAAGATGACGATAAATTCAGTAGATCACTAAGCAATTTTCTTTTTCGAGACATAATGATCTCACTTATTGCTCTGGCTTCGCAGAGCAATCTCTTTCTCTATTCCTTCCTCGCTCTCTTTCCTTCCCCTCTCTTTCCCTCTTCCGGCTGTAAATGATTGAACCCGGGTTGTTCATCACAGTCCTAATGTCTCTCTGGAGAGCTCAAGTACCTGAAGTTTTCTGCTGACTGCCACACACTCTGACCGCGAGGTACTTTAAAAAATTTACCATCTGCAAGGTCTGAGGTGAATTGTGTGGATATAACGAATAGACCTGACCAAATCACTCTCGAAAAATGTCAGTCTTCTACAGGGTGAAAACAAACAAGTATGCTTTATACATGTCATATAAAATAAATAAAAAATGTATCTTTTCCTGAATTTATGAGCGTTGCTTTTTAAATGAACATGATATTTTAATGAAAACCATTCAGGAAAGAAAAGTTGTAAATAAGTAAAATTAAATAAAAGGGATAATTCAGCCAAAACAATTAAAGTTGTGTCATTATTTACTGCATGACTTTGAGGAACAAGATATTTTTTTTAGAAGTGCCTTTTTTTTTTGTCTATTCAATGAAAATCAATATGCAACACTATCAACATTCTTTAAAAAGAATTATGTGTTCCACAAAGACAAAAGTGATGCAGGTTTGTAACAACATGAGAGTAAATGATGACAGAATTTTCTTTTTTTGGGTGAGACACTATCCTGCTTCTCATAGTTTTATACTGACAAAAAGCCCTTGTTATCTCAGGAAAAACAGAACCTCAACAATATCTCAACCCTTGCTCATATTTTTCAAAAGTCTTAGTTGAATTTGAATATATATATATATATCTTTTTTTTTTTTTTTTATCAAATTCTGCAGAGCAATTTCTGCATTCATTTTACATTTTACAATAGTTTAATTGATATTGGTGAGCTGAGGAGTTTCTATTCCTTGCTGGATTTGTTTGAGATTGATGTAAGGGCCGATCCGGAGTTGGTTTAGAGGGTTGTTTTATTAGAGGGAAGCGTAATTAGATTGTGCTGGATAGATAGCAGACCTTCTTGTGTTTTGTATGCATGTGTGTGTGGCGCCCTGAACAGCAGCTGCATGTGACAGCCCCTTCTGAGCCTTTCAGCCTGCTCTGCTCCATGACTTGGCTGTTTTCTTTTATCGTCCGTCTCTCAGTCAGGTCTGTCAGGGCTTTGAGCATCACCAATCCTTCTCTTGCTGCTTCTCACCTGGCAAGTTGCGGCACTTCAGCGTTCTATATTCTGCAAACGTCTTTCCATTCCCCTTTCCCGTCCATCGCATATGCTGCATTCTCTCTTTTAAAAGAGTAAGACACTTTGAACGTTCACCAACAAGCTGTGATAGATTTATGGTGAGTTGGAGGTGAACGCCATTTAGAGAAGCAATTACATTGTGTAAGGGTTTTTTTTTTTTTGAAGCTGCCCTTGTTTGACTTTGGGAGTGTTGGAAGCTGAACAGGCTCCAGATAAATCATTCAGGCTTTAAAGATGTGTGGAGCAAAGACACAGGAAGCTGTTTTAAAGATGATAGATTGGATGTAGCACACATATGATCAGGCTTTATAGAGTTGGACAGGGATCAGTGACAGGGAAATAAACACATTAAAACTACAAACTGTTGATGTTCAACAAAATATAGATGCTTAGTTAGAATTTATCCTTTTGATGTTTGACAAGTATTTTATTGCATATTACATTTCACAATTTTACTGTTTTTTCTGGGGGTTTTTATCATTTATAATTGAGCTGTGAAACATTTTTCAGCTGTATAGTGAGTCTGTTGCATATATATATATATATATATATATATATATATATTTAGCATACACATATGTTTGTGTTCATGGTTTAGTTTCAGTGTGTGTTCTTGTGTTTGCTGGGTCTCAGCTGCTCTATGTGAGCATGCCCCAGGAGGCGGCTGTCCTTGGACCAGAGGCGGCCATGATCTGGAACTCTCTGCAGGAGGCTCACCACACACAGAGGACTCCAGAAAACTCACTTCTTGCTTTTATTTGTCTCCACAGAGTGAATGACTGTATTTTGCGTGTGAACGAATCAGATGTCTCCGAGGTGTCTCACAGTAAGGCAGTGGAGGCTCTGAAAGCGGCCGGATCGATCGTGAGGCTCTATGTGCGCAGGAGGAGACCAATGCTGGAGACCGTCACCGAAATCAAACTCATAAAAGGACCAAAAGGTTTCAAATTTACCTTTAAAATGACCTTACATTAGGGATGTGTCACAATTGTCGGCTGCTCTACGAAAAAAATACCATTTACTATTTTACTATACAATACTATTTTAGGATTGTTTATTCGTAGGCTCATCTGGATATATCCATCCAATCTGAAAAGTGTTTTCCGGGTTGGTTTTCCTGTATTATATTTTATATCGTCCTATAATGGTAACCTAATGCTGGTAGATTGGCACCTGTTGAATTTCCTTTTGTTGAAACAAAACACACAAACACACACACACACACAGTGAAACACCCGCTATGCACCATTATGAATGCCCGTGTGTGCGGCAATGTGAAAAAATGGCAAGCACACACGCAACTTCTACGGAAGACTGTATTCTCGTACTCTCGAAATATTTCGACTTTAATCTCGAAATGCTATTTTTTTTACGTCGCAGTTCAGGGCTAACTTTAAGTCATAAAGTGAACGGGATATATTAAAATTTAACTTCGGCGGGCATGTATTATGATGCTATGCGAGGCTGAGAGTGCCTCTTTGTTTTATGTTTGTTTTGACAATAAAAATGGCTTTCTTTTCCTCACCGGAATTTTTCCACAACTCGTAATATTTTAAAACAACACTCTGAGGCAATAAATACTACATTAAGGCAATTCTAAGATGTTGTGTGTACTTAAACCCTGTCAGTCCAAATTAGAGTGTAACCCTCAGGCTGAATAATGCAAGGACACTAGGCCAAAAGTGTGTCTGCATGTTCAGCAATTAGAATATAAAGCATACAAAATGTTTATTATAAACTAGCGAAAAGATCCATAATCTGCCCTACCTAAATTTACAACCAGAACCCGCTACTGGTTGCTGGGGTTTTACTGCTGTTATGAAAGAAAATAGGCTATTACTCATGTACACATTCACATCTAAGATGCGAAAACAAATGGAAAACAAATCATGATTTGAAACTCCACCAAGCCTGAGAGTTATCACGTCCTCTGTGTTGGTTGTTGTTTGGGTGGAGCAATAAACAGAACTATATCCTGAGAAAGACACTGCTTTGATGCATTATTCAGAGTGCATGGAGGAAGGCGCATCTTACACAAATTTGGAGAAAGAGCTTCAGGCACCATAGACACTCTGAATCCAAAACACCATTAATACACATTGTACAACACTTGTTTTCTCCTCTAGGAAACTAAGGAACTAGATTGTGTTTAAGGAAAGTTTATACTTTTTGCTCTGAGAGAGTTTTGAGTACAGTCCTTTCTTAAAATCCCATAGGGCTCGGCTTCAGTATCGCAGGTGGTGTGGGAAACCAGCACATCCCCGGTGATAACAGCATTTATGTCACTAAAATAATTGATGGGGGCGCTGCGCAGAAAGACGGACGGTTACAAGTTGGAGACAGACTGCTTATGGTAGGTATTTTACTTGTTTAAATTTCAATTAAAACATTTATTTGTATAGCTTAGTTGTATTTAGATAGCAGCCCTCAGAGATGTGTGGGAGATTACATTCCTGAAGTTTCGCTCTAGTGTCAGTGTCAAACTCCATTGCTTTTAATCCAGGTTTTTTTTTTCTGTTAAACTCTTTAAGACTGAGTTTGATTTAATTAGCAAGATCAGTGCTCTGTGTAATCCACTGGGCAGGACACATTTGGCAGCGCTGATTCGCCATTGACCACTAGAGCGTAACTGTTTACGTAACTCTGGATTGTCCTCTTAACACTTCCTGCTTGTTTTCTCTTTCGCCCAGGTGAATAACTACACTCTGGAAGAGGTGACCCATGAAGAAGCAGTGGCCATATTGAAGAACACGTCAGATGTAGTATACCTGAAGGTTGGGAAACCCACTAGTGTCTATCTCTCAGACCCCTATGGGCCGCCTGATATCACACACTGTGAGTTATTCTTACCACATTTCACACTTCATTATGTAATACATATGCTTAATGCTTTAGAATTTTTCAAAGTAGTTTATTTTTTACTAATTCGAGCTATCGATTTATTGGTTTTTATATTGATTGGCATTGTGGTGAACCAATTTATACTATAATATACTCTTTCTCTCTCACTTATGTGTATCTTCAGCATTCTCACCCGCAATGGAAAATCATATCTCTTCCCCCGGTAATAACGGCACTCTGGAATATAAGTCCAGTCTTCCGCCCATCTCCCCCGGCCGATATTCCCCCCTGCCCAAGCACTTGCTGGGGGAAGAGGACATTAACAGGTTGGATGGTTTTTCCTTCCTACGGTAATTCCCTCCCTCTCTACCAGATGCCACTGCCCACAGGTAGACTGTGTAGCCCCCCTTCCCCCATGTGTCCTGTGGAAAATCCGAAAGACAATCAAGCAGCGTCATCACACCTAGTGATGGGATTGTTTTGGGATTTACTGTCCCATCCTTACTCCCTCCCATCTTGTTAGTTCTGTACTGTTTTATGTTCCTGGATTTTTTTTTTGTGGTCCATATTTGTTGTGATTGTACACAATGACTTAGGCTCTATCTACATTTTTGTACTATGTTATGACATGTTCACCATACTGCATGATTTGTAAGCGAACGTGTACATCACATAATCAGCTCAATATGTATAGCTTTTCTGATGTAGTAAACTTGCTCAGTAGTTCGCCTGGTACAGCATTGCAATAGGCTGCGCGCACAAGCGTAGTGGCGAACTTCCGCTATTGGCATATCAGTTTCCGGTTTTTGACTGTTCAATGCATCTCTATTTATTTTGTTATGACTATCAGTTAGGTTTAGCATTTGTGGTTGGTGGCATGTTAGTTTTAAACATAAAAAGAGCTTTAACCTTTTAGTGGCATTTCATTTCTGAACTGCTGCAATGCGTACAACAAACAACGTTATAAAAGGTTGCCAGATTCACGGTCATCTGTTTCAGATCAAACTGAATTTTTAGCCCCATTAACATTTAATTTAGGAAATTACGTGAATCGCGCAAGAAGCAATGCAATATCATTTGGCAAAAATGATGGAACAGCCACATTTTTCAAATGATCCTGGGTTTGTACAGAGTATCAATGAGACTTAAGAGTGGCTTATTTTTATTTGAGTCAATAAGAAACCACCTAAAACACTCTAGCAATCATATACAAAACCTTAGCAACTATACATGGCGCATGATTTTATTACCAAATAAAAGCATAATGAATATAATGTTTCGAACTGAAATCTGTGATGATGTCGACAGCATGAGCTTCTTTTTGTGTGCTGGCTTGCTTTTAAGGGTGTTTTGGGAGACATATGTTCGGGACAGCAGGGCTGGGAATGTGTTTGGTTCATTGCAATGCAACCTGAACCTCAGAGTGATGTGAATACTGAGCATCATCCCTGGAGCTTTCTGTTGAAGAAAACTAAAGCGCACATTCAGAACTGAATCTGTGGACTATCGAAGTCCCAAAGAACTTTGAATTCAGAATAGCAAAAAAAGTCCGACAGACTTCAGTTTTGATTATCTTGTCATGCCCTCTTTCTGCCGGCTGGCTTCTTGATGTGTTCATGGGCCCTGTGGTTGTTTTGGGCCTCTGAGGCTTTTGATGGCAGTTCTAATGGAATTCTGGGATTCTGGTTTAGCTACAATACATCTGTGAGGCAACAGCCCCAAATGCTGTCAAGCAACCATCTCTTGACATGAGGTTTTTGATGAAAACATTCCAGGATTTTTCTCCATATAATGGACTTCAATGGGAACCAAACGGTTCAAGGTCCAAAAGACAGTTTCAATGCAAACTGTTCAAAGGGCTTTAAACGATTTCAGACGATGAATAAGGGTCTTATCAAGCAAAACGATCGCTCATTTAAAAAAAAAAAATTGATTAAAATAACAAAGTTTACGCTTTATAAGCTCAAATGGTTGCCTTGCTCTGTTCAACAGGAGAGTCGCGAACGCGCATCACAGAACAGAGCAAGACGAGCACTTGAGCTTATAAAACTTTTAAATGAGCGATCGTTTCGCTTGATAAGACCCTTATTCATCGTCTGAAATCGTTTAAAGCCCTTTGAACAGTTTGCACTGAAACTGTCTTTTGGACCATGAACAGTTTGGTTCCCATTGAAGTCCATTATATGGAGAAAATCCTGGAATGTTTTCATCAAAAACCTTAATTTCTTTTCAACTGAAGAAAGAATGACATGGACATCTTGGATGACATGGGGTTGAGTAAATTATCAGCAAAAGTTTTTTTTCTAAAAGTGAACTACTCCTTTAAAGCCTTGTTCACCATAATAATGTAGAACATGTTCACCATAATAAGCTTCATCTAGTCTGAAAGTCATTACTAAAGAAATACCCTGCCACTACAATATCTCAAATATGTTTTACTTTTAACGGACGGGGTTGTTAATGTCTCCCACTGTGGAACACAGTTGATGGCACCCTGCTGTGAAAAATTCCCAGTTTGTCCTCCATAAATGCTAAACGTGCATGCAAACATGCATGCCTAACAAAGGGTGTGACCTTTCTTTGAGGTGAGTGAGATTAAACCCCCCCTCTTTGCCGGGGGTAAGAGGTTTATGTGGTCCCAGTGTTTGAGGAAGCATAAGCCCTGGAAGTTCAGCTTCCTTCATCTTCAGTGTGTTTTCCACAGGAGAATTGAGCACTCTGTGCTCAAAGGTCGGGGTGAAGCTTATAATATGGAATGGCAGAATGCTGTAGCCACTAATATTTTATTTTAAGTTTGGAGGCTCGGGAATTGATTGCAAGTTAAATACGGAATGTGCCGTTTCATGTGGATTGGCATAATAAATCTTACTTATGTTATGGCTCACAAGTTGAATAATTAACTATGTGAGACATTAGGCAGATGTTCAAGTGGGGAGGATGAACATGATGTTGTTCATGTGTGTGTCATCTTGGTTTAGGGGCAATGGAGTGTGCAGATATAGTGTGTCTAGGAGTTTGTTATGTTGCAATAATCGTTGAAGCACAGCACAAGACCCTCATTGCATTATGGGAGCATACAAATGCACACACACATACACCATAATATTATACACCAAATGTTAAAAACAGTTGCAAATACAGCAAAACTACACACACACAGCCTAGTCATTCAATCATCATGAATAATACAGCTTCAGAAGTAGACCATTCCATGCTCACATCATGTACATACACACTCAGCAGTGTTACCATGGGTCAGTACTCAATTATTACTAAGCTCACCTTTAATGAACTGGACATTCATAATTATTAGATGTGTAGTCAGGAAGTTCTTATGAATTAAATAGTTCTGCAAACTGCTGTGTGGTCGCTGACCTTAAAAGGATAGTTCACCCTAAAAAATCACCCTCAACTTGTTCCAAAACTGTATGAATTTCTTTCTTCTGCTGAACACAAACAAGAAATTTTGAAGAATGTCAGTAACCAAACAGTTGATGGTCCCCATTGAATTTCATAGTATTTTTCCCCATACTATGGAAGTCAATGGGAAGTGATCAACTGTTTGGTTACCCACATTCTTCAAAATATCCTCTTTTGTGTTCAGCAGAAGAAAGAAATTCATACAGGTTTGAAACAACTTGAGAGTAAATGATAATTTTCTCACCCCCATGTCATCCAAGAGGTCCATGTCTGTCTTTCTTCAGTCGAAAAGAAATTAAGGTTTTTAATTTGAAATATTCCAGGATTTTCTCCATATAATGGACTTCTATGGGAACCAAACGGTTCAAGGTCCAAATGAGAGTTTCAGTGCAGCTTCAATGGGCTTTAAACGACACCAGACAATGAATAAGGGTCTGATCAAGCGAATAAATAAAGTCTACGTTTTATAAGCACAAATGCTCGCCTTGCTCTGTTCTGTGATGTGCGTTCGTGACTCTCCTGTTCAAACTCGTTCATCAAAATGAACAAATCTTTTTTCGTGTCATGACTCGAAGGGTCCTAGATAAGACCCTTATTCATCGTCTGGTGTCGTTTAAAGCCCTTTGAAGATGCACTGAAACTCTCATTTGGACCATGAACCGTTTGGTTCCCAATGAAGTCCATTATATGGAGAAAATCCTGGAATATTTTCATCAAAAACCTTAATTTCTTTTTGACTGAAGAATGAAAGACCTTTTTGATTCCAAGGCCACCCTAAACTTTTGAATGGTAGTGTATATTACTTTCATATTTCTTCAAACGTATTCCAACCCACTTGAAAGTTAGCCGAGGCCTACATCTGTCTACATGGAATTAAACATTTCAGGTGTTGATGTTTAATGCACAGTTATGATTTTAGACTAGTGAGATTTCACAATGGGCAGAGCTAACCAGCAGAACAAATGAATGTAGTATGTGATATTGTTTCAGGACCATCAAAATATAAACCATCATTGATATTTATCCATAAACTTGCTAGCTTGAGTGGGTGATGCTAGCCTGTTCCTAAATCTATCTCTGTGCCCTGTGAAGGGCCAGAGGGTTTGTGCCGTGGTTGATAATAAGGGTGTTTTCATGGTTTTATGTATCCCTCTGTGACCCTGTATTAAGGGCAAGGAGAAGGGAAGTATTGCAGAGGTGGAAAAATGTGCTGAAGACAGATGCAGAGAGAGACACTGAGGAGTAAAAGATACAATGAGAACTGTTCTAAATATAAAATGATAAAGATAAAAGGGGGGTTGAATGAATGGATGGTAAAAGAGTGTCTCTTAGTCATCTCTGTTTAGGACAAGTCACAAGCTAGCATCACATGATGCAGAGCGAAGAGAGAAAGCGGTCCAGTGAGGAGGCCGTCACAAAAACATTCCACTCGCATTAACTTCAGTATGTCTAATGCAGCTTTGCATCTGCAGTACCATCTCGCTCTCTCTTACCCCAAACCAGATGCTACAAATTAGCTCACTGAAACTTGCAGGATATGTTAGATCCAAGTGATTAGCGCGCATGTTCCGGACGCATTGAGCCTTGCTGCTCATGTGGGCAATTCAGGTTTGAATACAATCTGTGTCAGGTACCGACTCCATTCCTGAAAATGTATGTCAATAAAAGTAGCAAAATAATTGATTAGGTGTAAAGATATGAAGAGTTCAGATGCAAAAGCCTCTAAATGCCATTGGAAATTTTCTTCTTTAATGATAATTTTTATCAAACTTGTATATTTAAGTTCAGTAATTTCACTTAAATAACAATTAATAGGTAATGATCATTGCCATTTAAGTGAAATCACGGAACTTAAATATACAAGCTTGATAAAAAATATCATTCTAGAAGAAAATTTAAAATGGCACTTAGAGGCTTTTGCATCTGAACTCTTCATATATAGTTTTTCAGTAGACCGTTTGTGCATGTGTTGTATGCTACATACACTACCTTTCAAAAGTTTGGAATCGGTAAGATTTTATTTTAGGATTTACAAGAAGTCTCTGTTGCTCACCAAGGCTACATTTATTTTATCAAAAATACAGTAAAATCTGTAATATTGTGAAATATTATTATGATTTAAAATAACCATTTTCTACTTTATTATATTTTACATTGTAATTGATTACTGTGATGAAAAGCTGAATTTTCAGCATCATTACGCCATCGTTCAGTGTCACATCATCCTTCAGAAATCATTTTAATATGTTGCACTGCTTAATATGGTTTTGGAAATTTTGATTTTTTCAAGTTTTAAAAGAAAAGCATTTATTTTAAAATAGTTTTAAATGTCTTTACTGTCACTTTAGATCAATTTAATGTGTCCTTGCTGAATAAAAGTTTAATTTCTTATGGAGCCCAAACTTTTCAACAGTAGTAGTGTATCTGGTTTTACATTGAAATATTTGTGTGAGTGGTGGATTAGGTATGTTTGTGTGTCAAACCCAGTTGTATTGTGTTGTATAATGGGGCTTGTTGTGTTGTCATATTTGGTTTTGACCTGGATTCTCTTGGTGTCTCTTTTTTGTTTCTGCATGCCACACGTAACAAGTACTGAATACATTTCAGCTGTTATGAATACACATTTGAACATTTTACATATTTTAGTTTCTTTAAAAACCTGTCTTCATGCTAACCTATTGTCTGTTTCTGATCAGAAATCCCTCGTTAGATGAGATGGAAGGTCACAGGTTTGATTCCCAACACTTCCAGTTGAGGTGAGCCACTTAAGTGAGCCGTCGTTTGGGTCCTGAATGTTCATCTGTGTCCTCTTACTTCCTGTAGCCTTTGGATTGTTTGTATAAAATAAAACAGTGACAGTCAGATCTGTAACTCTGAGTCCAAAAGTGATTCAGAAAGAGGGAATTCATAAAAGGAAAGAAAGATAAAGCAAGACATCTCTGTGGTGTCTCTTTAAACTGCCATGACAGTATTAACACAAAACATACTGTTGTTGTGTTTTTTTTTTTTTTTTTTGTTTTTTTGTGGAGATCTGAGGGCTGATTGAAGATGCTTATGATGGTGAAATTGAAATGGTCAATTTTTTTAAATTGCAACACTACTTATCAAAGCTACTAGTTTCAGTTCCTTCCTTACTCATTTAACACACTTCCACTGCCGTGTTTCTCACCCTTTCTCTCTTATTGGCTCTGTCTATATTTCTTTCTCTCTCTCTCTCTCTCTCTCTCTCTCTCTCTCTCTCTCTCTCTCTCTCTCTCTCTGTTAGTGATCGACCGATATGGGTTTTAAATGGCTGATAGTGATACCAATATCTAGAGTAAAATCACATTTTTGTAGCATAAGAGATATAATACAATATCCATTAAATAGGTCATCTGTCCACTTATTTTTTTTATTTTTTATTTTAATAATGTTTTCAGAAATCACTTTTTAAGGACTACAACAAATGACTTATAGGGACTACATGACATTTCGTTTAGTGACATCACAACCCCCATAATTTACATAAACACCACCCTCTGTGCCAGGAGAACCAGCTCATTTGCATTTAAAGGGACACACAAAACAACACATTTTTGCTTGCTCTCAAAAAAGGATAATTTTAACATGCTATAAAAATATCTATGGGGTATTTTTAGCTAAAATTTCACATAGCCACTCACATAGACATCAGAGACTTATTTTACATCTTGTAAAAAGGAGCATTATACCAGTGAAAACACAGAATTCAGGACATATTCTCTGAAATCAAGTCTTAATATTATATGCAATTTTGTTTCTCTAGTAAATTTGTCATTTTTAAATATTTATACTAGAAACCGAGTCAAAAAATAGAAATAAAATTTGGCACTGGGTGCTGTATCTATATCGGTCTGTCACTATTCTCTTTCGATCTACTTCAGCGCACTAACCCTAGCTGCTCTGCTCTCTGCCTCTCTTTCTCTCCCACACCAGGCCTCCAGAGCCAGTTTACAGCACTGTGAACAAACTGAGTGACCGAGCCCCCTCTCCCCGTCTCTACTCCCCCGTGGAGTTTGATAAAAGCCCCATGCACTCAATCCCCCACTTCCCTCACTATCACGTAGGCCTGCTCCCTGACTCCGAGATCACCAGGTACTGAGGACTGCGTTCTGCATGGGATGTCCATTAAAATTCTGTGGCCACATCTCACCTGCATGACCACACCCTAATTTATGCCCCATTTTAAAGTCACCTGCATGCCCCGCCCATCATGTACTAGTTCTAGTGTACCTCGCTCTTTAATAAATCTGCAGAGGTTTGATTCAGTGAACAGGGTTCATGTTTTGTAAGAGAGAACCTCCAAAAAAAGAAATGAAAATTAAATAATTTTAAATTTAGCTGACGCTTTTATACAAAGCGACTTACAATTGCTATACATGTCAGAGGTCGCACGCCTCTGGAGCAACTAGGGTTAAGTGTCTTTCTCAGGGATACATTGGTGTCTCACAGTGGATTCGAACCCAGTTCTCTCACACCAAAGGCTTGTGTCTTATCCACTGCTCATCCACACTTACATCTTACGATCATCATTGTTGAAAGTCTTTGATGAATTGAGAGTTCAAAATAACAGCATATACAGTATTTGAAATAAATGTCTTTACTGGAGCTTTTAATGCATCCTTGTTAAAGCATTTCTATAAAAAAGAAAAATAGTTCTAAATCGAAAAATGCCATTTAATGTTGGCTTTAATGAAAAAAATGATGGCAGTGAGGACTGCAAATGAGCTGCTCTCACAGCTTTGCATAATTCTCATTCATTTTTATTCCTCATACTTCATCCGACAATAATGCAAAGTGCACGTAGAGGACACGAGCGTGGAGATTGGTAGTTACCATGGCAGTTACCCATGACAACAATATAACTGAATCACATCTCTGCTGCAGCTGTCCACTTACTTCCTTCCCTTCCCAGCCACTGTCAATTTGTCTGTTTTTTTTTTTTTTCATTTGTTAGACTGTATTGCTTATTGACAGCTTCCCCATGAAGGTCAGACCTTGGCCACTGTCATTCGCGGTTTGCTTGTGTGCCAGTGGCAACATTAGTGCATCATAACTCAGAGTGGATTGATTTTATCTTCCTTATTTCCTGCCTAACTGATTTCACTTTAGGTCCAGGCACCAGCTTGAATCGTTAATTGGATATAAAACTGCATTTGCAATAACGCTATATCTCTGCTCTCGCTGATTAAATGACTAGGCTTATAAATGTAATAGTCGGGAGATGAACGGAGTGTAAACGGAGTTTGGCCGTGGAGGAAATGCTCTTCGGGACTAAGACTCTGTGGCACAAATGGCTGAGTAACGTTATCCAAATCCTGCGCATAATGCCCTCAGCGTGGGTGTGCTTTGTTTACTGGTTTGTTTTGATTTTCATTTTTTAGTTCATTACTCTATGAATTATAAAGCGCCGTCTAATTGGCTTCTCTGGGATTTGAATTGATTTGCATTTCAGAACGCCACCGCTAACACCTAATGCATCGCTTAAATCCTCAGGACTTGAAAAAAACATTCACGAAAATGCCAGCGTTAACATCTGTGATTAATGGATCGCTGTCTCTCATGTTCGGGGTCTGCCAGGTTTTTGATGATGCTTTTCAAGGGAAAGGGCAGGCAGCAGTTCTGTGAAAATGGCCAGTTCATGTGAGATTGTCAGTATCTTACCAAAACGGGAACGGTTATCATTTTATGATGCACAAACACCAAAATACTCTGCCTAAGAGTGCTGTTACTTCAGATTAGCTTTGTTTGAGTAACTCCTGACAGCTGCCAGTAAAAAAAAAATCACATGGCGAGCTACAGTAGGAATATATGGTGCGACAGCTTGTTAAAAACCTGTGATTATGCCCTTGTGCCATTTCTATGCCATTCTTGTCTCAAAACTCTGGATGTAGAAATGTGGTCCATGAGCTGGCAGATGTCAAATCCGAAAAGTTTTTCCAGGTATCACTGAACTCTTTAGGCCTCACCAGGAGATACTGGTATGCAATTTGCTAAATTATCCTCCAAGCTGATTCTTTCTTGTTCAGTGTAGTCATACTCTTTGATTTGACTAGAATTCAAATGTCTTTGATGTTTTCTTAATGCGTATCCTCTTGGCAGCTTTACACAAACATTAATGTGATCTTAATCAACAACCTCAAGCATGGTTCTCCAGATCCTGTCATCTCTAAATCATCATCAGTCAGGAGGGAGATTCCTTCATATCACTCAATGGATGAAGCCGTTTGGCAGAATCGCTCTTGGTTTCCGGGCACTTCTGTAGCTTTGCACCATGTGCGTTCGGTGGGGGTTGTGTCCCCTACACCGGCTGCTCACTGATTTGAAGTGATAGTTTTGTTTGTATGATGATTAATAATTTGTTTGTGGCTAAAAGCAAAGGGTGCATAATAATTGTGTTTTGCTGATGTGGAAAAAAATTGCAATGACATAGATCATAAATCACAGTTCCCTCAAGATTTGGCTACTTCTAATTTGTATGACTTGTGTTCCTTTTGGAGCCGGATAAACTAGCTAAATCTAGTTTGCTGATAGATTTTTGAAATATGCTTCTGTTGAATGCAAATAACAAATGTTGGAAATCTATAACCATTTCTAACAGTGACAGGTGTTGTTTATGTACACTCACCTAAAGGATTATTAGGAACACCATACTAATACTGTGTTTATTTAGAAATGTTGGCCCATATTGATAGGATAGCATCTTGCAGTTGATGGAGATTTGTGGGATGCACATCCAGGGCATGAAGCTCCCGTTCCACCACATCCCAAAGATGCTCTATTGAGTTGAGACTGTGGGGGCTATTTTATGATTCAAGCTTTGTGACATGGTGCATTATCCTGCTGGAAGTAGCCATCAGAGGATGGGTACATGGTAGCCATAAAGGGATGGACATGGTCAGAAACAATGCTCATGTGGGCCGTGGCATTTAAACGATGCCCAATTGGCACTAAGGGGCCTAAAGTGTGCCAAGAAAACATCCCCCACACCATTACACCACCACCACCAGCCTGCACAGAGGTAACAAGGCATGATGGATCCATGTTCTCATTCTGTTCAAGCCAAATTCTGACTCTACCATCTGAATGTCTCAACAGAAATTGAGACTCATCAGACCAGGCAACATTTTTCCAGTCTTCAACTGTCCAATTTTGGTGAGCTCTTGCAAATTGTAGCGTCTTTTTCCTATTTGTAGTGGAGATGAGTGGTACCCGGTGGGGTCTTCTGCTGTTGTAGCCCATCCGCCTCAAGGTTGTGCGTGTTGTGGCTTCATAAATGCTTTGCTGCACACCTCGGTTGTAACGAGTGGTTATTTCAGTCAAAGTTGCTCTTCTATCAGCTTGAATCAGTCGGCCCATTCTCCTCTGACCTCTCGCACCAACCAGGCATTTTCGCCCACAGGACTGCCGCATACTGGATGTTTTTACCTTTTCACGCCATTAAACCCTAGAAATGGTTGTGCGTGAAAATCCCAGTAACTGAGCAGATTGTGACATACTCAGACTGGCCCGTCTGGCACCTACAAACATGCCACGCTCAAATTGCTTAAATCACCTTTCTTTCCCATTCTGACATTCAGTTTGGAGTTCAGGAGATTGTCTTGAGCAGGACCACACCCCTAAATGCATTGAAGCAACTGCCATTTGATTGGTTGATTAGATAATTGCATTCATGGGAAATTGAACAGGTGTTCCTAATCATCCTTTAGGTGAGTGTATTAGTATTATATGAGAAGAATACTAATTATTTCATCTTTTATTCATAACTTATATTATCAGTGAGGATGTGAGGATTAAATTAGCTCAATTTATAAGTGGTGTTTGTTAAAACAGCCTAGAATAAGAGATTTGAACTAACTATCAAACCCTAAAGGATTATTCTTTGGTACATAAGTTTTGCCTATGTATTTTGATCGATTTATTATGGATTTATTCATTTAATAGACATATCAAAAACAATTTAATTATATAACTATTTTAAAAACTATTTAACTAAAGTCATGTTTAAAAATATAAACATTATAGTGGTATTTGCTCTGGAAAAACTTTAGTATCCAAAATAAACTTGCAAAAAAGAGCACAAAAAAAACCCTAAGAAGACATACAGATCTTGTTGTCAAATTAATGATGTAATCATTTTCCTGCTTGCCGTAAAAAAAAACATGATTTTTATCAGTCTTAATGGACTGGTGTTTATATTTAATGTACTCTTTGGCTGTTTTCTTAGAAACAAAATGATAGATTCTCAGAAAAGCTGTTTACATTGTGGCAAAAGTGCATCCATTGTTTGTTCTTTATTCCCTAAATGTCATTTGCAGTGCATTGTGGGACATGTACTTTAGTGATCCAACAAATAATGAAATCCTCTCTACCAAACCTCAATCTTCCCTCTCACTGATAGTTGGCAATACAGACGCATCTCACATTGATCAGCGGTACAGTTTCTGCCAGCTTTGTAACACTTGGTTTCATGATATACCAAGCATATGCCATTTTCCCTCAGGAGAAAACATTGAAGCTTTTTAAAAACAAAAGTTCAGTGTTTACTATTGCGTCATCCTTTAAACTTCCCTAGCGGGGCCAACCTGCTCTTTAAAAGAGACAGAAAAGATTCGATTGGATCTGCTGAGTGTCTCGGAGTTTACCGCTGTGTTTCCAACAGTCAAAGGTGCAGAAGAGCCTGCTATATAGAGACTCCATTGAGCTAAGAAAGGGAAAAGGCCATCCAGTTCTCTCGCTGAGAGAGCGTTTTTGAGGACTACAGGGGGGTGCGTGTATCGTCTTAACACGTCAATACACGTCTTAACATTTCTACTCAACAGCTAAATTGCTCTGTGAGTGTTCTCTGAATCTGATGAAAGCCAAAGCCTATTGATTGTGTCGAGAGGTATCGGATATGTTGGAGGGTGTTGTTTGATCTGTGGCATTTATAGATTGGCATCACAGAGTGTTGAACCCTGAGAGAAGCCAAACATAGGTCATAAGGTATTCATGGTTTTATTTCAGAGGTCATATCTGTTGAACAGGATGAATGGATTGATGAATGAATAAATAGATCAATAGATAGATGGAGGAATTAATGGATGAATGGATCG